GGAGATTAGCACTCAGGATATTTACTAAAGGAGTGTTTTGAAGATTAACAACTGTGGAAAAGAAGTGCAAAAGCTAAATCAGGTCCAAGCTGAGAGCTGCAGTGCCTCCCCAACACAGACCAAACTCAGAGCTGAGTCTGGAGTTGGGGTGTTCCTTTAGAGTTGGGGTGAGGAGGTGCTTTTTATACCCACATTTTGATTAGTTGTTAATATGGTGTCCCCCACCCAAAATCTCATCTTGATTTGTAATTCCCATAATCTCCATAATCCCCATGTGTCAAAGGAAAAACCAAGTGGAGGGTAATTGAATTATGGGGGCAGTTTCCCCCATGCTGTACTCTTGATAGTAAGAGAGTTATCATGAGATCTGATAGTTTTATACCAGGCTCTTCCCTCTTCGCTCTGCAACTTTCCTTCCTGTCACCTTGTAAAGAAGGTGCCTTACTTCCCCTTCACCTTCCATCATAATTGTAAGTTTCCTGAGGACTCCCCAGCCATGATGAACTGTTAGTCAATTAGATCTCTTTCCTTTACACATTACCCAGTCTCAGGTAGTTTTTTTATAGCAGTATGAAATGGACACTTACAGTCTTTTGATGTAGGCTGCCTTTGAAAGGAGGCATAAATTTGGGCAAGATTTTTTCTTAAACTCGGTTGATCCTTCAGTGAGTGCTGACAACTGTCAGACATCTTCACTTAGCACCCCTATAAGCTGGGAAAATAATTTTAAATTCCAGGCAGCAGATCAAGATGTTCCAGCATACAAGGGAAAGTGTTTGTCTGTTCTAATTAGGAAAAAGAGGTTGTAAAAGGCTACACAGAAAGAGGGAATTGTTTAATTTTTGCCTTAAATTTAGACTTGATAAATTCTATAACTTCTATTTACACTCACGAACACATGTAGAATCAACTCCATAAAAAGCAGACATTTTTTGTTTGATCTTCTGTTTCTTAATAAGGCAAAAGAGAGAGTTTACAGATGAAACATTGCATTTGAGTACTTTTTCTCTCCTGAAAAGGTAATTTCAATGGATAGGATAATAGCTTTTTATGATATATCTGTATTGCTTCTCTGACATCATTTAGACTTGCAAGTGTGAAGTGTTTTCTGAAGGAAATTGCTATTAGCTCATCAACATACCCAGAGGTCACTGATAAATACTGAATATAACAATTTTTGGAAGAGTTAGCACAACAGTATATGTTTTTATCCAAGGGCAACTGCAGAAATTTGCTTTGGTGTTGACTTAACTGCTTCCTGATGTCTCATTTTTTTTTCTTTCAAATGACCCTGTAACAGATGATCTAACATTTCTATTCACTTGTGGTTTGCAGAAGATATGCTTCCAACAGCATTTTCTTTTTCTTTTTTTTTTCCCCACCAGTTGTTAAATGACATTTATTGAAATATTTTCCTTTGTGCCTCTTAACTAGCTGGGCATTCTACTGCACCACTGTTGATGTCATCTATGATGTCATGAGGGTGGTGGCCATCAACAGTACAGCCCACAGACTGGGCAGTCCCCAGGATCTCTTTAATGGTTACAGAGAGTTCTCTGGCTAAAGATCGGTGCCGCATCTGCCAAGCAATGTTGACAATCTCGTCGAAAGTGATATTCCTGCTGTGTTTAATGTTTTTCTATTTCTTTCTGTCTCTTGGTGGTTGCTTGAGGTCTTTGATGATCAGGGCAGAGGCAGAAGGCACCACCTCAATCTGGGCCTGTCTATTCTGAACTGTCAGTTTCACTGTAATCCTCAGGCCCTTCCAGTCACCTGTTGCCTTGGCAATGTCATCACCAACCTTTTTTGGAGACAGACCCAGGGGGCCAATGTTGGGGGCCAGCGCAGAAGTGGCACCGACTTCACCCCCCAGTGCATCTCAGGTATATGACTTTGATCTCATTGGGGTCGAACTTGGGCAGCATGGTGGGAGGCCAAGGTGCAATTTTCTTCGGTCGTCTCGAATCCGGGGTCATCCAACACCAGCCGCCAACAGCATTTTCTAATACACGTTTCTATCACAGACTTGTCTTTACAAGCTGTTAGGTCACGTGAGCACTATGACATCGTGCTTTATAGGAAACTTAATTCCAAGGAAGGAATTCATTCAACCTATCTCATCAATGGCATTTTACAGGATTTCACAGCATTTCTGTTTTTCACTGACATACCTATTTTCTTAGCACATATGTAATAACGTGAGTACTACTTCATTAACTTCAGGTTAACCAACAGCCATTGTACTTGGCAATTAATGGACAGGAGGAAACAATTTCACTTCATTAAAAATCCTACACTTAACTACTGTTAGACCACATGGTTTCTAACTGACACTGGGATATGTTGTTTGAGTCACTAGAAATGTTTGCTCACATTAGAGGACCCAGAGTGCAGACCTGATTAAGCAGAACAACAACAACAACAAGAAGACATTGAAGACATACCAACTAGGAAAAACCCAATGGATTAAACTCTTATTTTGGCATAAACGGACAATTTATTTAAAGGTAGGTATTAGCTTATCTAATTTGGAGTAAATAATGACAACTCAATTATATTCACAGATTGGTATTCTGTGGCTCCCTCCATTCTTGGGGATCCTAGCCTTTCTCTAGTTTATCTCAAGGCTGTAAGACTGATTATTCTAATATTAATAATATAGCTACTATCTTTAGAGCACTGGTTTATAAAGCACACAGCCCAGTGGCTGACATTTCATAATCCTCACTAGTGGCCTATGTATTTGATGACACAAAGGTGAGAATACTGAGAGAAAGTAGTTTGGTAACTTTTCTAAAATCTTTTAGCATGGCATGCATTTTACAGTCAGATACACAAAAATGTGAGTATCAGCTTTATACTTTCCTGCTGTACAGAGACCATTCCTTTTGGCTAAACTGTTTCTCATTTATTTTCTAATTATTCACAATGACTTTTAAAAAAATACTGTCAATGCTAAACATAGAAGCTGTATCTCCAATGCAATTTGAAGGCACCCCTGCAGCTGGGACCCATCAGTGTTGTCACAACTGCTAATGCCTGGGGTCATGAACACTGATGTTAGTAAGAATGCCACCATTTCATCCCTGTAAGAACTCACTGGCTCTGTCCAGCAATGATAATTTTTACTTTTGTTGTTCAGAATGATTAAAAATATGCTATTAGGTTTTTTTGCATTTGAATCTCCTCTTGTATGGAACTGAGGGTGAGGTCTACCAGAGTACTCTTCACCAAGACAGTCTGTAATAAAGTTATATCTAGAAGTGGAGGAATCTCAGAGGAATTAAGGCATTCTTTATTTGTCCTGTAAATATGGTCCTGACTGGTGTGCTCCAAGTGTCAGCTCAACCTCAGGTGCTTCTCCTTAGATCTTTAATAATGTAGCCGGTTACAGTGGCCAGATATGAAGATGATACACTCACTGGTACCCAGCAAACTGAATTAATTAGCTAACATCCTCTTATCTTAAAAACCAAGACATCAAATCAGGGCAAAGCTAAAGAATATGTAAATTTACTGCTGAGGACCTAATATGGTAGAAGTTTGTCTCTAGATCTGTGAAATATAAAATAAAATAGTTAGATTGGCTATCCCTTGCTAGTCTAAGGCCCAATGTACCAACTATGTATTTATGACTAAATTGCCAAAAATAAATTTACTCTTCTAATGCCACTGTCTCCATCTTGACTACAAAGAAAATGGTCCCTCTATGATTATTGACCTTTTAACTAATGCATTGTAGTGTGTGTGTGTGTGTGTGTGTGTGTGTGTGTGTGTGTGTGTGTGTCTGTTGGAGGAGACATGAAAGGAAGATAATATTGAAAAACAAATATGGACATTGAAGTTAGACAGATTTGATTCTCCTCAGTGTGATCTTTATATGATATGGATATCAATATATAGACAGAAAACTAAAATCCTTAATTCTTTCTCAGATATCTATATAACCAGCTCTATGATTTTGGGGAAACTATATCACCTTTCCAAGTATCATTTGTAATACTGAAATAAACAATCATACCTAAATGGGAAAGCTATTGTGAAATTAGAGGGTTAAGCGAGATAAATATTTATCAGTAAGCATTTAAACTCACGCAATAAATAGTTACTGGGAATGTCTGTACTGCTTCTTAAGAGACAGCTGACTAGACCCTTTGATGACTGTTTATCCTTGTCCCCAAGTACCTATGTGAAGCCTTTCTTTACATTAAGTTGTGCTGAACCACTCTATTCACATTAGCCAGGATATGGAACAAACTAAGTATATATCAACAAATGAATAAAATGATATATATGTATACAAAGTGGATATTATTCAGCTATAAAAGAATGAAATTCTGTCATTCTCAACAACATGGATGAGCCTGGAGGATATTATATTAAATGAGGTAAGTCAGGCAAAGAAAGATAAATGTCACATGTTTTCACTCATATGTGAGAGCTAAAAAAATTGAGTTCATATAAGTGGGAAGTAGGATTGTGATTATGGGAGATTGGGGAAGGTTGGAGATTGGGGAGGATTGAAAGAGATTGGTTAGTGGATAAACAATTACAGTTAGATGAGAAGAAGTATTTCTAGTGTTTTGTAGCACTTTTGGGTGAATATGGTTAACAATAATTGAGCATAAATTTTCGAAAAGCTAGAAGAGAGGTTTTGAATGTTTACAAAAAGTTATAAATACTTGAGATGATGGACACGCTGATTACCCCAATGTGTGTAATGGTCATTACACACTGTATGCATGTATCAAAATATCATTCCGTACTTAATTATGTACAATCCTTATGTGGTAACTAAAAATAAGAGGGAAAAATGTGGTGAACCAATCTTTAGCATTTTTTTTTCTTATCCAAAAACCAGTATTAGATTACCCAACCAGCCAAGTAAATATGCTTCGTACATCAAAAAAGCAGGTGAGAGATATATCCAGAAAGTTGACAGAGGCCTATTAACCCATCATATTTTATTCATGATACTGCTGATTAAACTGCATAGCAACATCATCTGGGAAACTGAGAATCCCCATGAGAAAGTGTGGAGTTCCACTCCAGGTCAGGAAAGAGATATAATCAGAAAGAAAACCACTCTGAGGATTCTTCTTTCACATTTTCTTGCATTGTCTTATTAGAGGTATCCTAGCTGTAGAAAACTGACTATCCTAGATGTGGGAGGGATTAGATAATTAGTCATTGAAATTTTCTGTGTTGTAATCATAACCTACAGGGGAAAAAAGGGCATAGAAAGAAAAATTACTTATAGGGAGCACAGATAAAACCATTATGCATTGACTTTGAAAGAATTATAATACAATCAGAGGTAACAGGTAATTAGAGTACCATTAAGCTAATGAGTTAATTATTACATTAATTGGCAGGCTAATGGAACTCCAATACGGAATTTTAAAGTCTGCACTTAAATTTCCAAGAAATAATATATTACATTAAGAATTTTCTCCAGATAATGTATCTGTACAAAAATACAATTTGTTTTCTCCATGGAGAATTCCTGATTGAATTTGGACTCTCCTTTGATCAGTACATTGGAAACACTTAAATAGGACAGCATAATAGACAACAACAATATGTAATAATTACAAATAATTTTTTAAAAGTAAACATGGGATTTGAGCTATAAAATCACATGTGTTTCAAACTTGATTTTTGTTTATCAAAACATAATTTAAGTAAAGATGTCATTTGTTTCTTTTTGGTATTTGTTGCTTTTTGCATTTCTTTTGAGGACAAATCACATTCAGTTTAGCATGGGACAAGTCATTCCAACATGCCTTACATTTTTTTCTCCTCCTTCCAGCTGGCTTACAGAGAATGCAATCTTGTGTAAATAATTTCTGGGCTAAAAGTGTTGGAAGTATGATTAGTTAGAAAAATTATGGGCTCTCTAGTTTCAGAGCAAAAATTTTAATATTTCAATTTAATTTGAAATATTTCAATTTCGTAATTTCCAGGTAGATATTTTCAGAATTGAGTTAAGTTGTAGGACAACAGCTACTTTTCAAAAATTGATTAGTGTAGGGAAATAACCCCCATACATTTGATGTCCTGTGCTTTTTGTGAATAGAGATATTTCATTGCCTAATATTGCCAAAAGTTTATATGTTGCAACCCTAATTCTAATGTAGCAGTATTTGGACATAGAGCCTTTGGGATATAATTAGGTCATGAGGGTGGCACCCTCACCAATAGGATTATCAGCGTTCTAAGGAGAGAAGAAGAGAGATAGCTCACTTTCTTTCTGCCATGTGTGAATAGAAGAAGTTGGCTGTCTGCAAACCAGGAAGCAGGCCCTCACCAGACACTAGTTCCACCGGCACCTTGATCTTGAAGTTCTTGGACTTCGCAGTCCCCAGAACTGTGAGAAATAGGAGTATAATGCTTAATTTACCCAATCCATGATACTTTGTTATAGCAGCCTAAACTGACTAAGACAGAAATTGCTACTGAGCAATGTGGTGTTACTGCAACAAATACCTAAAAATGTGGAAGTGGCTTTGGGACTTGGAATGGGTAGAGACTGAAAGGGTTTTAATATAAATGATAGAGGAAGCTGAGACTGTCATGAAGGGAATTTTAAAAGCAATTCTGGAAAGGGCTCAGAAAGGAAAGAGAGACCTGTAGGAAAAACTTTTGTGTTTGTAGAGAATACAGAAATAGTCACACACAGAATGCTGGTAGAAATGTGGACAGTAAAGGCCATTCTGATTATATTCCAGAAAGAAATGAGGAACATGCTATTAGACAATAAAGTAAAGGTGATCTTTATTATAATGTGGCAAATAATTTATCTGAATTGCACTTGTCTTCTAGTGCTGTGGAAGATAGAATGTGCCAGCAGAAAAATTGCATATTTATCTTAAGAACTTTCTAAGCAATGTGTTTTAGGAGCAGCTTGCTTCCTCCTGACTGATTAGGGTAAAATGCAAGGGGAGAGAAATGATTTGAAGTTGGAATTATTAAGCAAACAAAACCAGAACTTAACAATTTAGACATTTCTCAGCCTGTCTGTAGTTCCAAAAGTCAGAAAATGTATTCAGAAGAGAACACTAAGCCTGTGACCAAGCAACAGTTTAATTAGGAGTTTAGTGTGAATGTGAACCATGGACTTAGATTATCCACTATCCCAGCAGGAAAACTGCTAGTTTGGACTAAAGGGGAAGGAGACTGGAAGAAATCTAGGAAGGTTGTTGAGGTTGTTGTACTTCCTGGATTTCTAGAGCAGGACCATAGAGCTATTCAACTGTGGACATGCTCTATTATGCAGAACAGTGGAAGAATGACCTTGAAGACAATTCAGAAGTTATCTGTGCTGCCTTCTGGGTTTCAGTAGTGGGGAGGGTGAAATTGCCTTGCTTTCCACAGGATAGATAACCTTTGCCTAAAGCCAGGAGGGTGGTGTTAACCAAAACTGTGGAGGCTCAAGCCTTGACTGACAGAACATGAGAAGCAGGACCCCTACTAACCTGAGCTGTGGGTCTGGGGCCACTTCTCCAGTGAGTATGGAAGGTGAGATCAGAACCACCTTCTCCGGTAGTCCTGGAGAACTGAAAATGAAGCCAAAGGGGACTATTCTTAAGTCTTACCATCTTGTGGAGTTTGCCCTTCTAGATTTGGTACTTGCTTGGTACACACTACATCTTCTTTCTTCTTTATTTTTCCCTTTGGAAATGGAAATGTCTACCCTATGCCTATCCCACCATTGTAAGGAATCATGCAGTGGTTTGGTTTTACAGTTGATATTGTGAAATATACAGCTCATCTTCAAGACTCTTTCCTGGCATACAACTTCTAAAATTCTTGGAAACTCCAAAGTGATGTCCTGGAGGGTCATGTGCCCTGGGAGGGGATGGAAGCTTCACACCTCTTCTCCTATGTCTTTCCCTATGCAACTCTTTATCTGTATCCTTTGAAATGTTCTTTACAATAAACTAGTAAATGTGTTTCCTTGAGTTCTGTGAACTCCTCCAGCCAATTAATGAAACTCAAAGAGGGGATTGTGAAAACTCCAACTTGAAGCTGATCAGTCAGAATTTCTGGAGGCCCTGGTTTTTGGTGAGGATATTTTGGGTTCTGAGCCCCAAAGCTGTGGGATCTGACATATCTCCAGGTAGATAGTGGCAGAACTGAATTGAAGAACACCTAGTCAATGTCTGCTGCAGAATTGATTGCTCACTTGGTGGTGGGGAGAACACTTCAATCCCTACATTTTATCACAGAATTCTTCTTCGGTGTTGATTGTCAAATTGACTGAAAGAATAGAAAAGACAGGATTCCCCACCACCTCATCCTGCCATCCCCAAACATAATGCATGGAAAGAAATCAGGCGTTAGGATAAATTGTACTTCTAGTCTCAATCATACCTGATTTAGATATCTAGAGGAGATTTTACTCTTAGACTTTAGAATTTATGGTGAGATAACCTAAGACTTTGGGGGCTTTTGGAATGGAATAGATTTTACATGTGAGAAGAATATGAATTTTGGGACTCCGGGAGCAGAAGCAATGAACGAATTTTTTTTTTCCGAAATTCATATGTTGAAATCCTGATCCCAATATGATGGCATTTGAAGGTGGGGCCTTTCAGAAATAAGAGTGGTGTTCTAATGAGTGGGATTATAACGAGAGCTTCAAGAGCTAGCAAGCTTGGATCTACTGGCACCTTGACTTTAAACTGCTGATAAAACAATAATTGCTGACACTTTTCTAAGTTGTCTGATTCATTTTAGTGAATAACTAAATTGAATATGGATTGCAGAAACCCCTGAAATTGTAGCTATCCTGGGTAAAAGAACTTCAGAAGAAGTAGATTAAACATAAATCCTGAAGCTATGACCAAATTGCATGAATTTTTTTTTACAGTTGATTTCAATGTTGTTCATAATTTTATACAGTTTTTTGGCTCACAACTCAACAATTGTCATTTTAATAATCATTCTAACTCAAGATTAAATATAACAACTGACTCTCAGTTTAAAGCATCTTGAAACATTTCACTGTCCTCTTATAATTCTTTTTTCCCAAAGATACCACAGTGCTTTAGAAATACTCATGATTTCTCAAAGCATGTCTTGACTGGTGACTTTATTGTACGTTTTACAAAAGTAAAAATAGAGAAAAGTCTGTAGTCACTCTAATATTCACACTTAAAATGTGAAATAGCTGCCAGAAGACTCAAGAAAGGAGCATGGTTTAGATAGCATAAGCTAGGCAAAACCGAGAACACAAGAAAGCATTTTATAGCCTAAATTTTGTAAATTACCTTTCCGTAAAATGGCATCATTGAAAAAACAAAAGTATCTGTTTATCTATTTTGTTGTACCCCAAAGATGCTGTTACATGGTAAAGAAGGGAAATATTATTCTTGAGCAAAGAGAAGTCACATATATGAGACCATAAACATTTGAAGTCACAAGAAGCTATAGGGAAGTTTTACCTTTTCCCTTTTCTCTCTGAAGTTTCAATAATGTTAGTCTATCATCAAGTGAACTGACAGTAGACAGATTAACCAGAGGGCAAACAGCAAACATGATGTATTGTGTGCATGGACACAGAAGCCACACACAAAGTGTAAGACTCAAAGAAGGGCCAGATGACTGAACTTTTATAGCAAACAGGAAAGGAATAGAGGCTTGGGGCTTCCTTGAAGGTGGTAACAAATTGTGGGAGGATGAGGAGAGGAAAGGCATGGTGAGCAAAAGCTGTCTTGTCATGCAGATAAAAAGCCTCCCAGGTATCAGCCCTCAGAATGTATGGATGACTGCCTGTGGTCATCTCTGTCTGGGAAAGTGTCAGACTTTTATTCATAACTGGGAAGGTAAAGGGGCCTCAGAGAAAATACCTGCTTACATCTGCTTTAGCTTTTACCTCTTTAGCTTACATCTGCTCTTTACCCTACAAAAGTAGAGACATGTAAATTTCCTTTACAAAAGAACAGGTTTTCAGAGCTACATTTACTGTTTCTCTAAATAACCAATTCAAATATGTCAAATAATTCC